ATTAGGTGAAATGGTACAATATTATCAAGGAAACAGTAAAAATTAAGGATATATATTGCAATCCAAAGAGCAAACACCAAAAAATCCTGCGAAGAGGAATAACAAAAAAACAAAAGGCAAATTAAAATTAAATTCTGAAAAATATTCATATAATGTAAAAGAAGGCAAAAAGGAGAACTAGAAGAGGGAACAAAACAGATAAAATATGGTAAAATATGGTAAAATGGTAGATTAAACTGAATCAAATCAATAATTGCCTTAAATGAAAGTGTGCTAAACACTCCCTAGCAAGTTAAAATGCGGAGCCTGTCAGAATGGACTTTTCAAAAAGTCCCAACTACATGCTGTCTGTTAAGAGATGTTGTCTAAGTATAAATACGACTATAGATCTATTTTAGATAAAGCTTAGCAAATAGTTTTCCGAAGTCTCTAAAGTTCCCATCTAATTCTTCCCCAAAGTACTTCCCCCTCACTGTATAATGTTCTATTCTTTAGCATTAACTCGTACACTCATATTTATGAATTCCCATAACCACAGGCCAAGAAAATAAAAGCAGCTAACTAAACAAACACATATTCAACATTCTTCCTAGAGCCCATGCAGGGAAAACAGTAAAAGATTCAAAAAGTTCTCCCCATTGTCTGGTTTCTAATGATTTCTGGAACAAGACGTGAATACAGTTACAATATCCAGGAGAAGCCGAAATGTGCAAAATCAATCAGTCAATCTTCAAGTAAGATCTCGTTCAAGTAAGAAACTCCTTTAGAACTATTAAGGATGATGTGATCCTTCACTTAAATTCACTTAACAGATATTGAAAGGAAAGCAATTCATAACTAAGTAATTATAGGGAATCTCTTGAAATTATAAAATGTGAATGTTCCATGTGGCCCTCTAACACTCAACATCTTGCTTTGTCATTGGTGGCTCCCCCTTTTTTAATATATATATTTGGAAGTGATAGATGTCTCAACTAATCAAGCTTTATGATATATTTTAGATAAAAAATTTTTCAGAAGGCCCAGTTTTTCACAATACCGGAATACATTTACAAAATAACATTTTAATTTCCATTAAGTTTTCTTAGCAATAATACCAGTATCATCAATCATAATCACAGCAGCATGCTTTAAGACCTAAAAGTGAATCTTTAAAATGTCAAATGTGATAATATGCCAAAAAATTGGAGAATTCTTATCCATGAGGGTGATTGTAAATCATCACCCACTACTTACTTGATGAAGCCACTTTCTTCAGAAAACTCCCAATTTCTTCAGACTCTATCAGTTTGGTTACCAAATAGTGCCAAACATGTAATTATAGATATTTACAGTGGAACAAAAATAGTTGATTAGTTGAACAAAAATAATCATAATTATATTTCACAATTTACACAGCTGACTTCATGTATCTATATCTATACCTATTCCTATACCTATATCTATATCTATATCCATATAATGTTCCTGACAGTTATAGAACTTCTGAGAAGTTGGAGAGGGTAGGGGTACATTCTACTCATGCCTCCTCTATAATAGTTACATACATGAGACTTTCTGGTACAAGATGGAAGATGAGGGAGGGTGGATCAAGAATCATTCCTAGGTTTTTTGATTTGGTATCTAAATTAAAGAATGGGTCATTCACTTAATGTAAGAGAATCACATGGGGAAAAGTGAAGAGTTTGAACTTCGACATATCGACTTTGATGTACAAATAAGTCGGTCTGCAGTTCAGATGAAATAATTGCAATGGGAAGGAAGATTTGAGGGTCATCCGTGCACAAGAGATCATTGAAATCAAGAGCAGGGACGTGATCGTTTGAGAGACTGTGTGGATTCAGAGAAGAATGTCAAGGATGGAGCCCTGATTCTGTATTTCACTGAATGGACACACCAACATCTGAGGGACAAGTGGAGAACAAGAAGCCCAAGAAGGTGACAGGGAAGAAAGTCAGGAAAATGGGGGAAAAGGAAAGAAAGTTGTGCTACTGAAATCGAAAGGAAGAGAGAACATTAGGGAGGAGTGTCAAATGGAGCAGAATCAATACTTATTTTTCCAACATAATCTCATCAATGCTAAGCAAGGAAGGGTATTTCAGTTCTTAGCTTAATAAATTGCTGATATTTTTCTTCTTTTTCATTTTAGCTATTTTCAGGCTAATTTTAAAAACTAACCTTGAGAATATGTATCACATACCTATGTATCAGTTTGCTACAGCTGCTGTAACAAATTACCACAAACTTAGTGGCTTACAACAACAGAAATCTATTCTCTCACAGTTCTGGAGCCCAGAAGTCTGAAATCAAGGTGTTGGCAGGATGAGTTTCTTCTTACGGGTTCAGAGGGGCATTCTGTTCTGTACCATTCTCCTAGCTTCTGCTGGTTGCCAGCAATCCTTGGCATTCCTTGGTTTGAGGCAGAATAACTCCAATCTCTGCCTCAGTAGTCACATGGCGTTCCTCCTGGGGGTCTGTGTCCAAATTTCCCTCTTCCTATAAGGATAACAGTCATTGGATTAATCCAGTATGACCTCATCTTAACTTGATTAAATCTGCAAAAACAATATTTCCAAATAGGATCATATTCTGAGGTTCTGGGTGGACATGAACTTTTGGAGGACCCTATTCAACTGAGGACACCATCCTAAGGGTATGATCACAAATATACAGGTGCTATAGTAACTAAACTCTAGAAGGATCGCTAAATTTAAGAAATTAGAATGGTGCATAAAATAAATGAATTTTATGTGGGCACCTGTTGGAGGAAGTCATTGAGAGGACATGACCTCCAGCTGACCCTCGAACTAGACCTGGGGGATCAGAGGCTCCTTACCCCCTCCCTTGTCCTTGGAATGTATGTTCTGCCTACTGTTCCCATTCTAGAAGCCACTTCAAGCACACTGCCTTCAGAGAGCAATGTGTTGTTGAGACCATCCGGACTGTACAAGTGACAGAATCCCATTAAGGCCTCTGTATAAACGTTTAAGATTCTGGCAGCTGGGTGTGGATATCTACTCATCTTGTGGCCACCCAAGGCAAGCCTCCTATGTAAGTTTCCTTGCTTATTAAAACTGCCACCTACCAATCTGGAGTGGTCTGTCTCTTTCCTTAACCTCCGTGTAAGGGGGCCCGTTTGGAATTTCACGGGAGGAACCAACAGCACCGAATTTTTTGCACCTTAGTTTCCTTCTATTGTAATAGGAGCCCAAAGTAAGTTAAGACTCACTTTGTAGAAATTCTTCATACTCAGTATTTTCATTTGGCATCTCATCTGCTCTAAGAGACACTCCTCTGAATCGCTTCTATTGCAAAGAAATTAACATTTTTTCATACAGTGAAAAATACAGAATCAGAAAGCCTTCCCAACCCTTTGGGATCTGGTTTGACAAAGTTTCCACAGCCATGCAGATGGCTAAACTAATGGACTCTAATATTCTTGAAGTAAAGAGAGGTGTGGCAAAAGACCATACTTTTATTTAGACAATAGAACCTTTTCTTCATTATCATCAAATATTTACTATGCACCATGGTCTGCGAGGCACCACTAGAGGCACCACTAGATATTAAGTGTATTTACGCCTAAAAAACAAATTCTTTCCCCAGGATGACATTGGGAGAAGCAAAAAATGTGGATAAACATAAAAGTAACATATGGGCTGATTCCGACATTATTTTGAACCACCCAGTCAATTCAAGAAGTGATTCTAAGATATGCTTTATGGGCGATCCTTCTTCCTCACCCTTGGTTCCCCCCACCCCCCAGTCTCTGCCATTTGTGATACATACTTTCCAGGGTTCCCAAACCGGAACTAGACCAGTCTTAGCTGACCCAACGAAGAAGCCTGCAGCGCTGTCAGCATCCCTGCGAGTCCTCCAGACACGGCGGCCCCACTGCTCTCCTCTCTGGGTCCGAGGCTGCCACAGAATTGGCAGTATTAGGATGGTTTCCACACCAGCTCCAAAGTCGATATGGTTTTCGATAGTCCACCATAGAACTATAGAGAACAAATATGTATTTCAAAGGCCATGTATTTGAAATATGCATTTCAAAGATTGGATGGCACTTCTAAGAGGAACATTAAGCCATGGTGAAGCATACACAGCTCTTTGTGACACGAAGGTTTCAAGGCTGTTGCTACAGACGAAACTTTGACAGGGTGTTTCCGGACAGGAACAAGAGCCAGGATCCTAGAACTCTGTTCAAACACTATTTTTTCAAATTATTTTATTGAGGTCATAATGGTTTATAACATTGAGCAATTTCAGGTGTACATTATCATCTCTCACTTTCTGTATAGACTGCATTGTGCTCAGCACCAATAGTCTAGTTTTTATCCGTCACCATATATACGTGCCCGTTTACCCCTTTCGCCCACCCACAACCCCCTTCCCCTCTAGTAACCACTAATCTCTTCTCTTTATCCACGTCAAACACGTTTTTATTGCTCTGAACGCCAAATGGAAACACAGTCCGAAGTTTGGCTGGAGCGCTTGTCTTTTGCCCGAAGACTTTCTGCCAGGGAGCCCAAGGGTTCTGCCTCTGAGTTGAGACGACAAGTGTCCCCGCGCGCGGGACCACACCAGCACTCCTCGGCCACTCGGCTCCCCTGGGCTGTCCCGGGCAGGAGAAGCGGCGCGCGGGGCGCGCTGCCCGGGCCGCGGAGTTTTCGGTTTCCACTTTCCCTCCCCAGGCCTCTCCCACTTCCTTTCTCACCGGTCCCCGCCCGTCCGCCAACTCCGGGGGCCGCACCTCCGCAAGGTCTCGTCCGCCTCCCGCAGGGTCCCATCCGCTTCCTCTGGGGACCAACGGGAGGCGAATTCCTGCGAATCCCAGGACTGCCAAGAGTGCGCAGCAAGACGGGAAATTGCAAAAGACCTCACCCTCTGCCCTCCCCCGCGGCTTTCCCGTAACTCCCGCCCCTCGGCGCTCGCCCCGCAGCTGATTCATAGCGCGGGCGCGGGGCCGCCTCTGCACGTCCACACCCGCGTCCGCACCGGCGTCCGCACCCGCGGACCCCGTGCCGCCCAGGACTCGGCCCGGCTCGCGGAGCCCTCCGCCCGCGGGGTGAGTACCCCCGGCCGCCCACCCCTCTCCTCCGCGCCCCCCGCGTCCCGCCGCAGCCTTCCCTGCTCGCGCCCCGCCTCCCGCGCTCGCTTTTCCGACGGCGGACCCGGCGCGGCGCGGGGACGAAGCGGACACCTTTGCAGCCTCTCTGCCGGCCCCCCCCGCTCCGCGCCGCCCCTGCCCCGCGTTTGCCTTGGCTCGGCGTTCGATCGCTCCGAGACGGTGCTCTGAGGGGTCCTCGCCTCTGGCCCGCCTACCTGGTGCGTAACACTCAAAGACTAATTCTTTCCAGAGCGCACACTGCCGGGTCCACCGCGACGTTTCCTACCCTACTCCTACGTTCACCATCCCGTCGCCTCCTTCTCAAGTAGTGGGGGAATATTTGTTGAAATTCCCAATTTGATCCACTTTTGCCTCTCTCCCAACACACTGCCATGGGAGTTAATTGCTGGCCTCAGTCTCCCCCTACGCACCCTTAACTGCTACCTGGCAATCTGTCCTCCCCGAGCCCGTGATGTGCCTCCATCCTGTCTCTATTGACACTTAGAATTGGGAGGCGCTCACTCACAGGTGGAGCGAGGAGATCCCTGAGATGGGGTAGTGTCTGGGGGCAGACGCCTACTCTCTTCTGCCACATGGATGGAAGCAGCACAGAGTTGGCAGGTTGGGCAGCTAGAGCCAAGCATTTGTAACCGCCCCCACCACCACCCTTTTATAGACAGACCTGGGCATAGAGGGGGTCAGTAACTTGTCCAAGACCATGGAGCTGGTTGTGGTGGCGCTGAGATCTCGGAGCTTAGGGCTCTGCCCCTGACACCGTGAGTCCTTTCTTGATCGTCCTTGGCCTGTCCTTCATCCGCCCGCCCATGCGTCCATCCATCCATCCTGCCTCCTGCCGTGTGGTGGGAGGCACAATGCTAGGTGCCCTGAGAAAAGGTGCTTGGTAACCGGCAAGCTTGAAGACACCTTGTGAACAAGCTAATTCTCCTACCCAAGTGGAGTGAATGGGGATTAATGTAGGCAGAGGATTCAATAGAACTGAATCTGGTGTATTTGATTTGAGGTAGAAGGAAAGAAGCTTTGGGTCTTATTCCCACACCTAAAACTGACTTTAGAACTTGGGTCAGGTTACTTATTGCCTCAGCCTCAGTTTCCTCCTCTGCAAAATAATAGTTCATACCTACTATGGACCAGGCACCATTCTAAGTATCTTCCATATGCTAGCTCATCTCAGTTTCACCAATGGAGTAGGTGGTAGTTTTGCCATTCTCATTTTATCAGTGAGGAAACTGAAGCCCAGAGAAGTTAAGTGACTTGTCTGTGGTCACACAGCTAGCAAGTGACAGAGTCAGAATTTGGCCTTGGAGTCTGCTTATAAGCACTATGTTGTGCCTCAAACTCAAGGACCCTTTTTGGAGTGGCCCTGGGGGTGGTGCTTCCTTATTGTTCTGCTTTGTCTTTCTCCTGGGTGGCTGTCAAACGCACTCGGAGATCCTTGAGGCTGAAGAGCCCCTGTCATAGTGGCCAGGGCTTCCCATACTTAGCTGTGCCTCAGCATCATTCTTGGAGCTTTTCAAAGCACTGGACTCCACCCTAAGCTAGCTATTCAGAATCTTCAGGGCATGCTCAGTTTGGCCTCTCTCCTGGTAGCATTCAGTACTGTTAGAATGCCTCCAGTGGCAGGGAGCTCACCACCTAACATTTCATTGCCGGACAGCTCTAATTCTCAGCTGTAACTTGCCTCCTTGTGGCTTATGTCTTGGTCCCAGCTCTGCCTCTTGTTGTCCCAGCAAATGTGTCTAAAAGGACTGGTCCTGGGTGTCCATCAGGGACTCGATCCACTTTGGGGATAACACTTACACACTGAGTCTCTTTCCTTCTACCCCTTTCTGTAACCTGAAAGACTAGGAGCACCTACAGTGGTGCACAGAGGTGTTCCAGAGTCTTTGAGTTTCCTTATAACCCTTTTGTCCTCAAAAAGGAACCAAATCAGGAAAACTGTTATGGTTTTGAAAGAGGAATCAGCAGTAATGTGATTTGACAAGAAGAGAGAGCGTGTTTTGCTTGTGGGACTGGGCTGGGGCATTGTCGGCTCGGATGGAAAGAAATCTCAGTGAATGTCATCTTGCTCACTTACAGGAATGGTGAACCCTGGCCGTCTTTTCGCTGGGGGAGGAGGTCCTGCTTGATTTTAAAAAAATATATGTGAAACGGGCAAAAATAAAACAAATGGAATATTGTGGAAATACCCCTCCTAGCTACATAAGGAGCGAGTTTCTTTTCCAGCAGCTGTGTTTTTGTTTTCCTTCCTTTTCTTCTCATTTTAGTTCTACTGGTTTTTTCAGCATTTATTTGCTCCAGGTGGGCTGTATTTTATTTTTATGTTTTAAAAATAATACAAATAATAGCTGAATACATTCTCATTCAAACAATAGAGAAGTATATGGAATGAGAAGTACCATCGTCACTCCTACTTCCACTCAGAAAATGGAAGTTAAGTTTGGTAAATAGCATTCCAAGATTTTTTTCTTTTCTATACATTTTCATAATATGTATGTATACATATGTTTTAATATATGTAAATAAGATCTTACTGTGTATCCTATACATCGCGAAGCTTACTTTTTCCTTCCCAAGTCTTAGAGATCTTTCCATGTCTGTACCTCTTTTGTTAATGGTCACATGTTATTCTAAAGTAGAAATATGATTTATCCATCCTTTGCCTTATTGTTGGACATTTGGGTTGTTTAAAATTATTCAGCATCAGCAACAGTGCTTCAGGGAAGATTGTGCATTCATCTCTGTGTGTAAGCCTGAGTATTTCTGTGGAGTAGAATCCTAGGAGAGAGATTCTTGGGTCAAAGGGTTTGTTCATCTTGATAGATACAACCGTTCAAATTGCATCGCTGTCCACACCCCACGTACTAATGTAAACTCAGTGCATAAGCATCTGTTTCCCTCATCCTTCCTAACATCAACTGTTATCTTTTTTTTGTTTGTTTATTTGAATTTTCAAATCTGGTAAATGAGTGAAACCCAATAAGGCATTTTAATTTGCATTTTGCTGATTACTACTGCAATTTAATATCTCTAATTATGTATGGGTCATATGTGTCTTCTATGAATTACCCATTCATTTCACTTGCTCAGTTTTCTATTGAGTTGCTTTTTCTTATTCCTGTTTATTGCGGAATAAGCTCTATACCTATTCAGAATCTTAATCCTTTGTCTGTTATAGCTGATGAAAATATTTCGTCTAGTGTAATGCTTTTTTTTTCTTTTCTTTTTTTTATTGTGGTAAAATACATACTGGTAGTCTAGTGGTTAAGATTGGGCCCTCTCACCACCATGGCCTGGGTTCGTTTCTGGTCAGGGAACCACACTATCCATCTGTCAGTTGTCATACTGTGGTGGCTGTGGTTGCTGTGATGCTGAAAGCTATGCCACCGGTATTTGAAATACCAGCAGGGTCACCCATGGTGGACAGTTTCAGTGAAGCTTCCAGACTAAGACAGACTAGGAAGAAAGAAGGACCTGGCCACCCACTTCTGAAAAAATTGGCCGTGAAAACCCTGTGAATAGCAGCAGAGCGTTGTCTGATACAGCACCAGAAGGTGAGAGGATGACGCAAAAAGACCAGGCAGGGTTCCGCTCTGCTGTGCACAGGGTCAGTAGGAGTCTCCATGGCACAAACAACATATACTTTATATATAATATAAAATTTACTATTCTTAAGTGTACAGGTCAGTGTTAGTAAGTATATTCATATTGTTGTGCGGCCATTATCACCATGCATCTCCAAAACTTTTAATCTTGCAAAACTGAAACTCTGCACCCATGAAATGGTAACTCCCTTCTCCCCAGCCCCTGGCAACCACCATTCTACTTTCTGTTTCTATGAAGTTGACTACTCCAGGTACCTCGTATAAATGGAGGAATCATATAGTGTTTGTCTTTTTGCAAATGGCTTATTTCATTTAGCAAAGTATCCTCAAGGCTCATCTGTGTTGTAGCAGGTATCAGAATTTTCTTCCTTTTTAAGACTGAATAATATTCCATTGTATGTATATACCATGTTTTGCTTATCCATTCATAATGTTTTTATTTTTAACTGTCTTTTGCTGCATAGAAGTTTTAAATGCTTGTGCAATCAACTCTGCAATCTCATGATTTCTGTGGTTTGTCTAGTTTAGGAAGGTCTTTTTCACCTAAAAATTATTTTAAAAATTATCTTATTTTCTTCTTATTTCTATTTCTTTCTATAATCCTATTTCTATAATAAGAAAGAAGATTATTTCTTATTATCGTTATTTTGGATTTTACATTTAGCTCTTTAAAATATCAGAGTTTTGTATAAGGTGAAAGGTCAGGACGTAAGTTAATTTGTTTCTAAAGTTTTAGGCAGTTAACCCAACACCATTTATTTAATCATCCATCTGTTTTCCAACTCACTTGAAATTCTGTTTTTATAGTAAAATAAATTCCTGTTTATACCGGGGGCTGTTTTGGGAGACTGTTCTGTTTCATTGATCTTTTTTGTCTCTTCTTATGCTAGTACTGCCTTATATTAGCTGCTACAGCTTTAGAGTGTGTTTCTATATCTAGTAGCATACATTTGTACTTTTTTTTCTAAAAAAATTTTTTAAAAATGATCCTGTGCATTTTTTCTTTTGTATAAACTTTACAAATAGCTTGTCAAGTTTAATAAAATCCTGTTGGAGTTTTTCTTAAGATTTTCTTGGGTTTATCATGGTTAATAATTTTTTATGCTTTAAGGTGCATTCTAGCATGAGCTCCCAGCATGGAGGAAGCAGTGTGATATGGTAAAATTCTGTGCTTTGAGGAGTGACTCACCTGGTTTCAAGTTCTAGGTTAACTATGTCAACCTATGTCGAAGTTACTTTTAACCTTTCTTAGCCTGAATTTCCTCTTCTGTGTTTGGGGATAATAATAGAATCTCTTTCATAGGGCTGTTGTGAGGATTCAGTTAATAAATGCAT